ATACCTCCATTAGCAAAATTATCTCATTAAACCCAAGAAGATGCAGAAGGGTCTACCTCCATTTTTAACGCACTTTGTTGCTGTTAGCATTCTTTGCTACTTTGCTAATACTCTCGAGCATACTCTTGAGGAGTACACTTGAATATAGCGTGCAAAAATGCTGGAGAAGAATCAGTCACGGAACAAAAAAAGCAGAGAGAGCAGCAGCACAGGAACAGCTGGAAATGAGATGAATGTGAGAGATATCATGAGAAAGTGATGCTTTAAATATCTGCAGTCTTGTGAACTTGATTAGAGAGAGAGCAGGTTGAATAGTTTTGGTGTAGGGGTATCTGCTGGCTTCAGACAAATGTGTACATGTGAATTGAAGCAAGGGTACTTCTGCAATTTGGGCAACCACAGAGTAGATAAAAGACCCCAGAGCCACTCCCCCGGCTGGAGTAGCAGACCATGCCCACGGGTTCCCTCGTGTGAAATGCAGTATTTATTGGGTTAATGGTGTTAAAATAAAGAAGCTGCAACAACATTGTTGGCAGAAAAAAGGAACAAGAATCTGAAAAAAGATGTGGAGTAGGTGTCAATGGAGAAGGAGAGTTTGCTCTTTACCTGGGAAAGGAACCTTCCTAGCTTTCTCTGCTGCATTCATTAAATTATCAAAATTTATATTGTTTAGAGACTTGTTTCTGTCTCCAAGCAGGTTAATCCAGTTGCCTGCACCCTTGCAGAAACAGAGCAACAGCAGGAGAGTCACAGCACCATGAAAATGGTATTCTCAGCTCAGCTCCAAAAGTAGATCTGAGATGTTGCCCTTATACCGTAGTGGTAGATTGAGACAATATGATTTTCTTGAGTACGTTGTATTCAGATCCCCTTTTTAAAATTCACAACAGAGTCAGTTAAAGAAGGAGATTGTTTCCTCTTTTTGTGTGTGTGCCAAAAACCTTGGGCCATCACTAATCCTAGCTGCCCTGTACCCAGGGTCAAGTTACATCAGCACAAGCTAAAACAACACACCTTTACACCAAAGATGGGTAGGTTTGGGTTTTGAATCATCAAAGATGTTAAGCAACCTTTTATTTGAAAGCTAAAGGGTTGTGGCTCTGTTGTTTCCCACCTTGAACATCACAGGTTTGTAAAATATGGTGCCTGCCTTTATCACAGTCCAAATTCTTCCAAGGAGTCCCATCTTTTCACACACACACACACACACACACACAGAGAGAGAGAGAGAGAGAGAGAGAGAGAGAGAGAGAGAGAGCATTTGCACAGGCAGTGGATGATAGTTTAATGCACAATTTCTGAGAGCTTGTTAATACGTTTAAAGAAGCGTCAGTGACTCGGATGAAATCCTTTTCATATGATACTGAAAAAGCACAAGTGGTGGGATTTGTAGATCTCTCCAGGCAGATCCGTGTGAACACCAGAGGTCATCACACTGGAGGAACTTGCAAACCCCACTTCTCATGTTCCATCAGAAACAGAAGAAGGCCAAATCACTCATGTTTCATATTTCCCTGCTCCGTTGAACATATGACTCCACACACTGCTAGCCTCCGTGTTGTTTTTCACACATCCTGTTTTCACTTACAACTTGAGGCACTGAAGCACCACAGGCCAAAGTTAGGGGGAATTTATGTAGTACAGATATGTCACTGCGGTCAGCAGGAAAATCTTAATCTTAAGGGAATTTCATCATATTTGTTTCCTTAACAGATGGTAGATGTCCTATAGGGAGGAACAAAAAAAATACAAATAACATAAAGAAAAAGCAAAAAAAAAAAAAAAAAAACTCTTTTAGGATGCCTACTTAGCTCATCTTAACAGAAGCTCCTTGGTGCCAAAGATTGTGGAGTGTTGTTGCTGTTGTTTTTAACCATATACTCTTTACTTTTTGTGTGTGTCTTCTTACGTAAATTCACATATACAGTATTTAGTTAGCATCTGTCTCCAAGATTACATTTGAAATGTGCTACAGTATGTGGCTCACCAGCATAGAAATATTTCCCTTTGGGCAATTTAATACTGTCTGGAGCCAAGAAATCGGCATATTCAAGGTAGAGCATGAGCTACTGCAGTCAAGTAGTACAATCACAGGCAGCGATTCAGCCCAAGAAGGTGTACTTGCTTAGCTTCAGTGTGTTTGCAAACAAATCTAGATACAAGATAAGGAATGGTGGCGTCAGCACCAACAACAGCTGCCTTCCCCATACTGTGCCTTGGACTTCAGCAGATTAGAAATTTTGTTTATAAATTCACCTGGATCACCTGTTAGTAAGAATGCTACATAACTCTTCCATCTTATTTTGCACCAAAGCCGGTGATTAGCAGCACAGAACAGTGAAACTGTACAATACTGAAACTGAGAGTCTGAGGTGAGGAGGGAGAACTTCAGATGCTCCTTCAGACATTTGGAATTTCCCAGAAGCACCAGCCAGAATGACTAATGGTACAGGATTAGAAGAACTGGGATTCAAAATACCCAGAGGGCCAAAGGTTCCCCAGTGAAGGGGTAGCTCATGGGAGGCCTGCTATCCTCTTCTTCATCTAAAAGCAGCTGTGGAGGAAGGGCTAAAAGAAGGAAAGAAGCCTCTATACTCAGGCTTGGCCAGTATCTTTAATCTAAATCTGAATTTCTCACAGTTGCTTTCAGGAAAATTCAGTCACGGGATATTCAGTCATGTGTAACATGTAGTCTGGCCCCCTGGCTGTCTTGCCAAAATCCAGTGCCCTTTATCCTTACAATCTAAGGTTTCCCCTATGGTATTTGTGGGTATCTTAGCGACAGAAATGGCCAAGAATGGTCTTGCAGATTTTTTTGGGAGGAGCCTAAGACTCCCAGCATTCGTAGCCAGAAGACCTGATCATACGGGAGCATGGGTGTTGTAGTCCAAAGCCATCACTAGTGTCACAGATGCCCACACTGTTTTAAAGAAAGGGACCTTGTCATCTGGTGGGGGTTTGATTTATGTCTTCCATGTGGCCATATAGTGCTGGTAAGAACAGGCTGTGTTCTTCCTAATTTGCCTTGTAACTGGGGAAAGATAGCCATTGTCAGAATTAAGACTCTGCTTCTCAGTTAGGAAAAGTGCTTTTCATATACAAAGGTAGGCAAATCAAACACAGTTTTGTTGCAGCCTCTGCAAGGAAGTTGCCCTAGAAAAATAAGCACTTTGTGGACGGGTTCATAACAAAGTTTTCTTAAGCAAATTAACTTTTGACTATGTTCTTCTTTGCCAGGGATAGAATTCTGATGTTGGGTTCATGTCATAACTCTATGTAGGAATAACTTTCATATGTATTAGATTTGGCCCAAATTTGACAGCACAGAATGAAAGGCAGCCCAGAACCACTCATCCCCCTCCCCCCCTTATTTTTTGGCAGCTGCAGTTCAACAGTAAGTTCATCCATATCCCAACATTTTCTCTTGTACCTCCAGAAAAGTGATACATTTCACAGTAGGCAATGGAATAACAAAATGCAAAGGTGTAGTTTACCTCCTATATAAACTAAAGTTTATCCCAACTTCTCTGATACAGGATTCGGCATATTTCAGTGTATCTCCACCCCCCCAGCCAAACAGGAACCATATGTTTCTATACAAGGCAATGGGGGCGGGGGCGGCAGTGCTGAGTGAATGACAGTTTTTTTCCTAAAAATTTTGGAAGGGACATCCTCCTCATCAAGACCACCAGAGATGAAATCTGAAGACCACCAGCTCAGGGCTGATTTCTCAGGTTTGGAACATGCTGTAATCCAGAAAACCTGGCCAACACATCTGCCCATGGATTTTGGAACTACATTGTTGCTTCTGCACTGCCCCCAGCTCTGCAATGCCAGGCCTGATAAAGATCCGTGCAGAGTTGAAAGCTAGCTTCTTGGGGGGGGGGGCGATATTAGTGGTCTAATAAATGTATCATCCACCCTTACCTTCAGCAGATGCAAAGCATTCTTTTTGGCTCTGTGCTGTGGTCAGCCATTGTGATGCTGCAATCCATCCTCTGGAGGACAGGTTTCGTTAATGTATCTGACCACAAACTACCACAAATGGTTGTTGTGGGTTTTTCGGGCTTCTTGGCCGTGTTCTGAAGGTGGTTTTTCCTAACGTTTCGCCAATCTCTGGCCGTGAAAGCCTTCGCGAATACATATTACCACAAATGACATAAAGAAGACTATGTGATAACTTGGGGGAAGTTATATGATACATTGCTCACCAACAATTAGTCACATGTAGCCAATTAATTTAAAGCCATGTATGTGGCACCCAGAACATGCCCATTATAGGTGCTCAATCCCTAAAAATAATAGGTCACCATCATCAAATGATAGTTTTCTTGATATTCCATAGGCGTGATGGGCACCCACACACTGAAGGAGTGGGAATGTGCTGTTGGCTGGCTCTGCCATAGCATGCCTATGATAACCTTGCTGTCTGATGTCCCCCACTTATGCATGCACATCTAAAGAGAAGCCTCCATGCCTAAGCAGCTGCTCATACATAAGGGCTCTTTTTCTAAAAGTCAAAACTGTGTGGATCAAGGTTAGGAGATGTGTCTAGCCCAGACACAGAACAGTGAAGGCATGCCTAGTAAAACAACTCCTTCATCAATGCCAGAGTGCCCTAGTTGCATATAATATATTAACAGGACTCATTAATGTCTGCTGTGTGAGTTACAGATTCCTAAGACCTCTCTCAGTCACAAGGTGGCTGCTTAAATGTATGCCATGGTTTGCTTATGCTTTGAATAAGCTTTTTACTTTGCTGAATATCCAGTTTGTGGCCTCAGCACAACGGGTGTTGTTATTCATTAACATGTTTCTCTTGCGATTGAAACTTTAAGAGAGCAACATGAAAGACACTTCCGCTTTGTTAAGCATTTTCTTCTCCTTAATCATGCAAAGATTTCTCATGAATAATGTGAGCTATAATTATTACCTGCAGGTTTGTAAAGCCTTGGTGAGCTGTTCCTTAAAGGAATTTTTTTTTTCTTACTGAATTTCAGATGACCAAGAGCCAAATTATAACCACCTGATATTAACCACTGCAAACCAGACACCTTCACATGGTAAGACTATGAACAAGAGAGGATCAAAGTTACCGATGCTGTAACTTTCCTCTTTCTACCAGTAATCCATGTATCGGTATAGATTCTAACTGCTATCAATAGAATATTTCATGAAATGAGTCTTGCAGGAGAAACATGTGTTCTATTGATAGCACTGTATGTCTGGTCCAGTCTCTCAATGTGCATCAGGTAGAGCATGGCTGCATGTTTTGAGTCTGGTAATGTCTCTATCAGCTGCTATTACAAGCTGTCTTGCTTTGTAGCGACTTGGGGATGAAAAGATGCACAGTGAGAGGAGAAGCTGCCTGCCTAGAAATACTAAGCATTTGTTTTAAAGCCATAATATCCAGACATGTCCACAGAGCTCTACTGATGTTTGAATGCCCATCCATCAGCTGAATGATTGGATTTTAATTACAGCTCCTGCCAAGATGTAATCAAAGGCAAGGTCAAAGCTCACTGTCAGCTTCTTGGGATGCTGAGCCTGCTGGAGCTGTGAAGACAGCTATCCAGGCATTCCCAGATAGCTTTTTATAATATTTCCAACACACTGTCATTTTTATCCACACAGACACACACCAGTAGCATGGACAGAGATGGATCCTACAGTCCATCTGGTCCCCATCGCTTTCACATATATTCAGTCAAATGTCCATTCCAATTAGTTTCCACATCAGTCTGTAATCCAAAAGGCAAATAAACTGAAACCTCACATTTGTTGTCATTTGCATTTTCCCCTAACATATATTTTTATACATACCACTCCCTAATACATGCATTTTTACATCCAGCTTTCCTTAATATTCATGTTCCTGTATATGACCAGGCCCAGTATCTGCATTCTCGCATGCAGCTTTCAAGACTCAAACTGCTTTGCAAAATTTAGAGACGTGTACAGTTCATAGGGTACAAAGGATGCTCTAATTTGGATACTAGGTTAGGAATTTTGGGTTAGGTTGGTTTACTTAAAAGAGACAGAATGAATGCATTTATCAGACGTGGGGTATTGTTTTGTTCAGATATTGGCCATTTCATTTCCATTTCTTTCTAGCACACTGCTGTGCAAAATTTTCAGCTCTTAACTGCTAAGTTCCCAGTTCTCTACATCTCAGATTTTGGCAATTGGGACCAGCTCATTTGTTTGACTTCTTACATAGTCAAATGCTCTGGAAATTTTTTGGGGGGGTGGGGTGGAATCCCACAGTCCTAACCTCAAATCTCCATTTTGTTTCTTTATTTTATTTAATTTATATGCTGCCCACACTACCCAAAGGCCTCTTTATTTTCCTTGAACTGTTGTATTTCCTCCCATTCATCCTGGACAATTTCAACATACTGTACTGTTGTCAAGTTTCCCACAAACAACTTTCCTGTCTCTGTTTCTCCCCCCCCTCTCTTTGGCCCCCCACAGATTTTAAAAATGAGATCATTTAGAAATCAAAATGTGCAGACTTCCCCTCAAGCCCCTGTTCTGTTGTGCTCTGTGCCAAAAAAAGCCTAATAGATGCAGCTGTTGCCTGCACCTCCTTGCCTCCTTGCTCCCTTCATTTACCTGTTCTCTGCCCTTCCGCCATCTTGTCATAGGATCCATGGGGGCCACAGCTTTCTATGTATTGTTTGTTTCTGCAATAGTCTTCATACCTAGTTATTAATGTCAGCTTTTCAACTTTATGCTACTGCCACATGGCTACATCTCTTACCTTCATTTCCTAGGAAAGTATGACATTCCCTGAGTTTTTCCCTCTCTAGCAAGAATTTCTATTTATTAAACAACTTTGAAGCTACACCTTCTCTGCTGAAAATCTCTGAGGTAACTCTAAAACTGTAGAATATTTTGAACTAGTTCATCCATGGCAAAATGGCTTAGAAGAACAAATGGCCTTTTAAAAGTTACCTTGGCACTTTGCTGAATTGCCTCTTTTATTGCTGAGCCCTGGCTCCAGAGGTTTCCTGAACATGAATAACAAGTCATTTTCACTAACACAGTTACCCCAACATTTGTCCTTTCCGTCAGCATCTACAAAAGCAAAAATGCCAGCCACAGCATTGGCAGGTTAAGTCCAGTAGAAGAGTCAAATATTAATGCTATGTGTGAAGTTAATTTGACAAGCAGAAGGCTAAAGTTTGACATCCTATTCTCTAAAACATCTCATTCAAAAATACATCTTCCTTCCATTTTACAGCTATTGTGCAGGAAGAAACAGAGAGGAGTAAACAGGGCTTATGACCCAGGTAGATCAGGCATGGCCCAAGTAGTTTTGGTAGTCAGTTAGCCATACGCTAAGGAATAAAGTTTTAGTTTGATGTTTAGTGCTATGTTCACTTAGCCTACACTGACCAGTCTGGGCTGCATGGACGGCCGACTAAGAAATGGAGGTATTCTACATTTCCTTACATTCAAGTTAGTCTTTAGCAGGCCAGCTATAAAATCATGTAAAGTATAGATAATATTGCATGTTGAGTATCAAATATATGTTCTTCATTTAAGAATATTTATGTCCTGCTCTAGATTACAGGATCTCAAGGAGAATAGTATAACATAGTTTACATAGTTTAAATAGTGTAAAACATATAAACATATCCACATTTTAAGCAATTTTTAAAATAAAACATGAGTCACAACATAAAATAAAACCAGCAGAATCATATAAATGGAACAGAACTCCACAGAAGTTCCTTAAATAGAAAAGTCTTTAAATCCCAAAGGCTCTAGTGACCAGCCATTTTAAATTTGACATGAAAATGAAATCAATATTAGCACCAGTTAAGCCCTACCAGGGGAGAGCATTCCACACCTCTCTCCTGTGTCTCCACAGACTTTATTGTTCTTAGCATCAGGACATGGAAGAGAGCCTCTAGCGAGCAGATCTTAATAACTAGGCAGGTATATACAATATATAGGAAGAGAGGGTCCTTTAAATATCCTGGTCTTAAGACATTTAGGTCTTTCTAAGCCATAGGTTCTTAACTTGTGGTCCGTGTACCTCAGTGGGCTGTGACGTCCTCACAGGGGGTCCACAAAAGCTTGAAGAAATGTTATAGTCATTTGCAGTTAAAATTCAAAGAAAGAATGAAAGAAAGCAAGAAAGAAAATGAAACGCAGAACAAAATCTTAATTTCCCCTGTTTGTGTAAAAATCGTCTTTTCTAACCTAACACTTCCATTAAAAACAAACAAAATTTAAAATCGGTTATGAAAATAACTATTTGATAACAGATAACTGTTTTGCATTTCTGCACATGGTAAGAAAATGCAAGTGAATGACGCTGAGTGGCTGAGAGACAGCACGTGACATTTCTTGCTACTGTGCAGACACTCAGAAGCTGCAGGAAGAGAGATTCAGAGTCAGTCAGTGTCAGTGTGTGTTAACACAGACTTCAAGATCATGTTTCTTCTTCGATTTCTACTAATAAACCAATTAGTTATTGTCAGGTAAAGTGACTTTTCAATATTGCAGTGAATTTTGTAACAATACATTCTGGCTGAGCTTTAGAATGGATTCCTGGCTGAATCTGAAACGTAAAAGAACTGATGCTGTTGATGAGGGTGCATCCTGTTCAAAGCAAAATGAAGCTTCTTCCTGTCATCTTAAAAAGTGTTACCATTATAGCAAAGAATATATCTGTCGACTGGCTTCCCATGTACAAGTCTCGAAGACAAACAACTACCACAGTGTGTGTTGTGTTATGAGATATTGTCCAACGAGGCCACGAAACTGTCAAAACTCTGAAGACATCTTGATACTAAACATAAAGAGCATGCCACAAACAGATTTTTTTTCCAAAGTAAGGAGCATGAGCTTCAGGAAAATAAGAAAACATTAAAAAACATTGCAGCTGGTTGCAATAATAAAAATGCAGTGAGAGCCTCATTTGAAGTTTCTCAACTAATAACAAAAGCCGGAAAACTGCACACAATAGCTGAAGAACTTACATTACTGCAGCAAAAATCATGGTTTCTCAATTGATGAATGAGAAAGCTGTTAAAGACCTTCCCTTAATAAAACTTTTGTCAAATGACACAGTTAAAAAGTGAATCAACAGTTTGTCAGCCAATATCAAGGAACAATTCTTAGAAATTAACAGGAGGTTGGACGTGATGGCCTTATAGGCCCCTTCCAACTTCATGATTCTAAGATTTTGTGAAAGAATTTGCATGTCCCTTACTTTGCACTGCAATTGGATGAAAGCACAGACATAATAAATAAAGCAACGTTACTGTGCTACATTAGATATGAGCATGAGAGAAATGTTTTCAAAGCAAAATGTTCATCTCATTGGTACACACTACATCTGAAAAAGTATTTCACTGCTTAAACAAATGTATATCATCTCATGGCATGGATTGGTTGAAATGTGTTGGTATTAGCACAGATGAGGCACAAGCAATGCCTGGAAAGCTTAATGGATTTGGAGCACAGATTAAGGAAATCTGACTTTGTACCATTGCTGCATACATAGGGAAGCTTTAGTTGCTAAGAAGATAACAGAAAAACTAAGAGTCCTTAAATGAAGCAGTTAAAATTTTTAATTTTATAAAAAGCAAATCACTGAATCCAAGACTTTTTTAACAGCTGTGCAAAGATATGGCCAGTGAACACCATCAACTTTTGCTACCCTGTGAAGTTTGTTGGCTATCACGAGATAAAGTTTTGTCTTGTTTTTGGGAATCGAGTGACAAGATAAGATTATTCCTCATCAAGAAGCAATTTCACCTCAGTGATCATTTGACATATTTTTCCTGGTTAGTCAAATTAGCATATCTGTCAGATATCTTCACCCATTTAAATATGCTCAGCTTAAATCTTCAAGGAGAAAAGGTTACAGTTTTTCATGTTGAAGACAAGATTGAAGCAATGATCAAAAAGTTGGAATTGTGGTATCATCGCCTAATGAACCAAAACTCTGAGACATTTCCAAAACTCATGAATTTTCTTGATTCCGCTGTCTGAGGGGGACACATCACTTATTACATGACATTTGGAAGATTTGCAGCATCGT